GGATTTGGGTTCTTTTTTTTTGAAAAAAAATCATTTAATACTAATACTATTAATTTTATGCATTTATTTTTGGAAGTAAAGATTAAAGTCCTTTTATATAGGCTGTTTCACGTGCACACCGTTCTAAAAAATAAAAGTGAGACATGTTTGTTACAGGCAAAAGTATTAGAGAGACCTTTTCTTGGGATGGGATGTGTGGCAAGTGGGATTGTAAAGCTTGCTTTAAGTAGGCTGAGATGGACATCAGTTGCAATCTTAGACGTTAACTTGTGCGTGTACTACTTTAAATATATTAGTGGGAAATCTTTCACTTTAACTGGTGGCTGTGGTACAGATTATCTCATGAATTGCAACTCCGGGGAGATCAAAATCTACTCAGGTGCTTCAGAGTGACAGCTCCAGGCCATTTGCAGCAGTGCACACAAGTGTAGCTTTGAATTGGAGGCCAAACAGAATAAAAGATGGGCAGAGGTCTGTGGCTGGACTCAGCCATTCTGGGGCTGCCAGGCTTGAGGAGTCATCACTTGGGGAACGATCCAATGCACGTGTTGTGTCAGAAAATGCTTCCTTCATTGTTGCTTATTTTTTTTAAATTATTAAATATAATACTGGAGAAACTAAATTTTGAATCCTGCCCTTAAAGAGGGAAATGAAGGGCTGCAGCTGTAGTCAGGGATTTCTTACAGATATAGCCCCATTTTGGAAGGTTTCTCTCTGTTGCTGTAATATCGTGAGAGAGCTTCTTATGGAAAAAGAACTATTTGTGAGCATGCTTTCTCTTTGTCTTTCTTTCTTTTTCCTGACAGCACAGTGAAGAGCTGAGTGAACTGTGCATTTCATCATGACCTTTCTAGAACTCCTGATCTTATACTGTTTAACAGCCAGGTTTTATTCTTATGTGAGCTTACATCTTTTATTGGCCTTTTAATACGGGCTTAGCAGGTGCTGGAGAAGTCACTTTGCATTTCTTTTTTTTTTTTTTTTAAAATACTTCAGGAAGTTTTTATTTCAGCATAAAGATAAAGCATTTGGGTATTTTTGTTTTCCTTATTAGGTTGTGCTGAGTTATTTGGTTGTATTTAACAATGCCGATGTGTTGGTTTTTTTTAATGTGACTTTTCCCTCATGCTTATCTACTGCATACTGCAGCTAGTGGTGCATCTATGGTAACTTCCTTCTGAGTCATCAAGCACCTACCCAATACAGAGGTCACAGCATTTTTTTTCTTAGGAAATGCCTATCATATGGTGCTGTAGACTGTGAGATTTGAAACCTTTTGAAATTTGCAATAAAAGGAATATTCATTAAACACAGGCAACAGACTGGTGTTTGCTAGTAGTTAGCTGTTAAAATTACTTTGTATCAACTCATACCTGAGATTTGAGAAATGCTTTTTTTTTTTTTCCTGCATTTGTTTCTCTGCCATAACTTCTTTACAATTTTTGCATATTTTGTTTTTTTAAATTTAACTGTGTGGTTTTGCTGAATAACTATTACGGGAGAAAATGCGGCGCTATTTAGAACAAAAAATGTAAAGACATTTCCTTCAAGTTGACTAACGATAGAGTCATGAAATCTCATGGAAGTCATAGTGGCTTGGTTTTTTTATGAAGAAAAGGTGCTTTCAGTTTAAAGAGTAGTGCTCCTTTCCAAATGCAGAAATGTCCTTTGAGAGGTAGGGGGGGGGGGGGAAATCTCAAAAATACCAACAGTTTTTTGTTTTCTACCCTGTGGCTTTTTGAAGAGCTCGTATGCTAAACTTAAAGGAGTGTAAATATTATATTGTTATATTTCCTCCATGTGATGCTCTAAAATTCTGAGTAAATTGGTGTTCAGAGGCATTTAAGTTCCAGTTTATGTAAATCTGTCCATTTATTTGAAAGTGATGTCTGTCTGAAGTTCTGGTTTTGTTTCTATGTTGTTGGGCCTGATGCCAGCAGTGATTTGAATCGTGTTTCTTGTAAAACTGAAACGACCGCACTTTTATGTGGCCATGGCAGTGTAATATGCTGTGTGAATATTAATAATACTTTATGTTAATAGAAATAATGCAAGATCAAAATATATACAGAAGTACATACAATGTGAATATTGTGGGGATTTTCCCTTCTTGACAGGCTGTTGAGCTTCTAATACAGAGAAGCATGTTTTGTGATAATTTTATTTATTTTTAATAATTGAAGCAAAAACTTTAAAAATCACACAATTCCTCCTGAATGCCCCACTTAATTCATTTAATCCCATGTAAGGTGTGTTGCCACTTTCCCCTCCAAAGTGTTACATTATCAGATCTGTTCTTTAATGGTGTGAGCCAAGGAAGGTGTCTTTACTTGGGTGCCTGTCTCTCAAGAGAAGTAGATTTCTGTTTTGTAGGCATTTTGTAATCACTTAGTTGCAATAAGATTAGTCAAAAATGCATATATCAGATATTTCTGAAGTGCTTATCTTGCATATACAAATTTAGAAAATTGTGCATTACAAGCTCCTTTGAATTATGTGGAATTATAGGCTTGTCTTCTTAAGAGCATCCTTAAGAGCTGGCATCTTAAGAGCTGGCATCTTAAGAGCTGGCATCTTAAGAGCTGGCCTAGAGAGCAGCATCAGAAAACCAGAGTTGAATAATCCTGTAAACTAAATGAGATCTTTCCAGTGAAAAATTGTTAGTGTATCTAGTCCTTTTAGTAGGTGCAGGGTGTATTTGAATTTATAAAATACTATTTATATATGCTGAGACTTGGAAGGTCGTGCTCTTTTGGAAGCTCATAAAGGCAGTAAGTTTTAGTCAGCAAAATACAGAATAAATAGGGTCTCGTCTTCTGATACTGTCTCTCATTTTCTCTTATTGCCATTTCCTGGTGAAACTGATGTGTGCAAGAAATAGGGGTTGTATGATGCTCAAGTTTAGGAGCTATAGGAAAGCTTGGGGATGAAGATGTATTTTATGTACAAGGTCCCTCAATTCGCTGCTTTCTTCAAAAGGTAGTGATAAGCTGTGACACTTCTTTAATGACACTTGAGTAATGTTCAGAAACAAGGAGATGTGTTGCCTTGAGCAGGCAAGCACTTGGGATTTGATAAGATGGGTGAGAAGACTTGCAGGGCCCTTGGTGATACAGGGGAGGAAAAGCAAGCGTGTTATGCTCATCTTAGAAAGCAAAATTCCTTCAGTCATTTAATGCTGCTTGAATGCTGTAGTGCTTTTACTCAAGGTCACCTTGTGCATGGAGTGGTATTATTCTTGCAATGAAAAGGAAACAAACCTTTTTTTGTAGGGCTCTTCCTACTTAAGCATGATGCAGAGCAACAGGCAAGGGAAGCTTAGGCTACCTGTTTTGTTTGAGTACATCAAACAGTATACAAGAAGATAACCATTAAAAGGACTTCAGTTCCCGTTTGTAGTTTTCTTCTCTCTTGTTGCAACTCCGTTGCTGTCTATTTAGTATAAACGAGCTGTCAGATTTCTTTCTCATGTTGTTGAACTGGCTTAGAGCAAATTGAGACAGATGTGATAACAGCAGCGTTGTTCAGCTATGGCTGTATCACGGCTCTTCGTAATTCTGCAGCCCATGGAGCTTTTCCATTGCAAGCACAGTGAGAGACATTTGACCACATAGGTAAGCTCCAGGGCAGTTGATCCATTTACCTCTTAGTATCTCTAAGGAAATGGAAGTCTAGTTTGAATTTAAATAGCAAATACACAGTAGAGGCAGTGATTGTGGCTGTTTTTCCTCTACTGATGCCTGCCTTTTCTGTGAAGTTCTGCTGATTTCTGTTGAAATAACCTTTTCCTGTGGTGTACACTGTCTTCATTATCCTCATTTCTGTCATTCCAGCATTTCTGTTGGTTCATTAGCTAATCATCAGGAACCTAAGGATTTAGTCAAGGGGAAAGAATAAAAATAAAAGTGTGCTTTTGGTAGAAGTAGCATCAGTAGTTTGTGTAATAGGAGGGAAAAATGTTATCGGGTACTGGATAGCATTTGTTAATGCTGCATAAAAATGCAAGAAATCTTGATCTTCGTAACTAAATAAGAATAACCTGTGTCTCTTTTTGGTTGGTTGGTTTTAGTTTGGGTTTTTGGGGGATAGGAGATGGTGTATGTTTTTAAATTAAACCCCTGAACTTGTTCCTGGTAACTGATATTAACATTAAGGAAAGTGCTGTTAGGGCTTTTCCCTTAAGACCTGGAGTACAAGAAAGTATATGGAGTTTTTTAAAGATGCTTTTCTTCTTGTTGAATGTTTTGCTGTGCTTAAATTATGTGTGTTGTAAAAAAAACCCCAAACCTAATGGTTACTTAGCATTTGTCATTTGGGTGGATTTGCCTAGTATTTTAGGGTAATGCTTTTCTTACAGTCAGTTTATTGTCAGTTTTCTCCATGTCTGTTGAGGCAGATCACGTTTTTGAGCATATTTTCAGTCTCACCATATTAGCAGACTAGAATGAGTGTAATTGTTGTTCAACATGGTATTTTTCTAAAGACTAATGCAAGTGTACCTTAAGATTTCATTTTAACATTTGAGAAAAGTATATATACATATATATGCATTCAAGAATGAAGGAAATTTGGCAATTTTGCTCAGCAACCACGTTAGTTAATTGATTTTTGCAACTATGATGTCTTTTACTGCTCAGAGCAGGCCTGCAGCTCTAATACAATGTTCCTTTGGTGTTCAAATATTTGGTACCAGCCAAATTCTAGGATGTTGTTAAGCCTTAATAAAAATGAATCTGGGGTTTTATAAGTCTGATGCATACTCAAAATATTTTTATCGACTAACGGTGAAAGATGCTTCTTTCCTAATCAGTGTATTCTCAGTCTAAAATGTATTTCTGTCATTTTCTACAATATTAAGATATTTCCAAATTATTCAGTCTTGTCATACATAGACAGAAATGCCCTGCAGTGTTATTTTGGAAAGTTTTGAGGCTTGAGAATCTTGATAAATGTGTTTTTGTGAAAATTTTGCACTCATATCTGTCTTTTTAACAGCTGTCATGGAGGAGTTGGTAGAGGATGACATCTGTATTTTGAACCATGAAAAAGCAGACAACGCACATAAGAGAGACGGGGAGATTCCTGTTCCGTCTTACAGTGGAGATGAGTCTGTTGCCTCACACTTCGCACTTGTCACTGCATATGAAGATATTAAGAAACGACTGAAGGAGACAGAGAAGGAGAACTCCTTCTTGAAAAAAAGAGTGAGAATTCTAGAGGAGAAGGTAAGAAAAAAATGAATATACCAGCTTCTGGTAGCAGCTCCTTTCCTTCTGGCTAGATGGCAGAGCAGATGGTTAAGTATTTAAAATACGTACTTAAAATAATTTCCAATTTAAAAAAAAATTGGTAAATTGTTTTATTTGTTTAGGTGAAACACAGTTTGTTCCTCTGGTAGCCTAGTTACTTACGGAGATTTTTGATTCTTACTGGGCATGCATGTGATGTTGTAGTGCCCTGCAGAGATACCAGCTTTGTTTCAGAAAGCCGGGTAGTTGCACTGGATCGCTACTGTATTTCATCTGCATCTTTAGAGTTTTTATTAACTTGGGCACATGTGACTTAGTGTTGTTGAATGGTGAGGTGCCAAGACTATTAATTGTCAGAATCCAGGAACTGTCTATCAGAAGAATCTCTTGGGCTCAGCATACCAAAATTACAAGGAAAAATTGGTTGTTAGGAATATCTAGCAAGGTCTAGCTACAAGTAGTCTCAAACATGAAATACAAAGTTGCAGTGCTTAACATAAAGGTGTTGCCTGGCTGTTTTTTGATGCGGTAATTCTAAAACAAAGGAATGTAGGAAACTGTTTTGTTTGCAGTTTCTCGTGACCTTAGTCTAGTGGAGTTCATTAAAGCTACAAAGAAGAGGGTACTTTGTTTTCTATAGATAAAACTTTTGGTTTAGTATGTGAATACCATAAAGAAGTTTCTGAGAGGGGCATTTAGAAGGCCTAGACTGTTATTTACTAAGACTGACTTTCAGTCTTTGTTAATGGCTACTGTACCTTCATAATGAAAAGTGTATGGAAACTTCCAGAAAGTTTGGTAAGTTTGGGTCTATCTGAATGGCTTTATTTGGGGGAAGAAAATGTAAAGGACAAAACTTAAAACAAGTAGTACATTTGCTTTGAGGGTCAATACAAAAAGCTAAGGGCAGACGCTTCCTGTCTTTTTGGCTTGCTTTCCCATACTTTCTTTCGAGAGAACACCTAAAAGAGGAGCTACTTAAGGTAGGTACGTAACTGTCACCTCTTGATTTTTCTAATATTTTTGTGTGTGGCTCTTTAAGAGAATACATATAGATCTGTTGCAAGTATCTACATTACATACACATACACTGTGTTTAAATGCCTCAATAATTTAGAGCAAGTGTGCAGGACAAAATTAAAAAGGATAATGCAATACTTAGTCAAAACATGAACTTTCTATATGGACGCATACAATTTGATGTGAGACTTCTCTTCTTGCTGGCTTATTAAAAATACTCACTGTATTTTAACTCTGCTCCCCTTTCAGATAATCTGGTTGGTAGTGCTTATTCCCCCTTACTTGTCTCTTGTTTTAGCAGACAATGAGATAGTGGTGACCTGGAAGTTAATAGTCATTTATAAAATAATTCTGCTTTGGCTTTTCTCACATACATACACTGAAAAAAATTTGTTTCAATTATGAGTCATTATGTTCATTTTTCTCTGAATTTTGTATATGTTGTGCCTTTATAAGCTTAAAACTCTTTTTCCAAAAAGCAGCTTGTATGTTTTCAGAGCCTGGAAAAAACATGATTAAGAGATAGTCAGGGTGATTCATCATGACTTGTGGATGGTTTTTAAATACTCGCAGCAGTAAACTTACAAGCATTAAGTATGGTCAGAGATTGCAAAATTTGTAAATGGCCTCCGTTGCACTTTTGTAAAAAATCTGTCTGTATCAATGTATTTGATTATTTTCTAAACTAAAAAAAATGCTGTTAGTTTAATGTTGCAGGCTGTACTGTCAGAGTTTTTAGATTTTGTAGTTCTCAATATAACATACAAAACTTCTTATTTCTTCTATCTGTTGAACATTTAGCTGCTCAGCTCCCGACGGGAAGAGGAATGCAGTTCAGTTGGACGTGAACAAGTGAACAAGGCATACCAAGCCTATCGAGAGGCCTGCATTGACCGAGATAATCTGAAAAGCAAACTGGATAAAATGGTATGCCTTTTGAACTAAATACTTCAGTAATTACTTAAATGCATGTTACATAAGTGCTGCATAGTTAATGAATGTTTACCGTAGAATGAGTTTTATTTGCTGAAGGTCTGTGGTGTTTCTTCTATCACTCCTTTAGTTTTTTAAAGTACATGATGATACTTTGTATAGGAATAACAATTTCAAGTATCTTCATTTTATTACTGGGCTTGGCTAAGGCTGAAAAATATCAAAGCAATATTTTTCTTGTTTTTAAAACAAAAAAGAAAGTTAAATTGTCAGACATGATAGCAAAAAAACTTCAGAAATGGTTTTGTTTTCTTTTTTTTTAAATAGCGGAAAGAAAGTGCAGAATCCTTGAAAACCTTGAATGAACAGTTGCAGTCTAAAGAAGTAGAGCTGTTACAACTAAGAACTGAAGTAGAAACTCAGCAAGGTAGGCATTTGGTTACTTCATCTTAATCTCTGCTGACTAGTCTTAGTGGTTATATTATGATCTCAGGGCATTAGGAAGTTTTACCCTATGTAGTGGCCAGGTAAGAGAGGAATATACTGCAGCGAGGTACTTTGGGCTTGTATATGGGTTTGTTCTTGTAAATGGTGACGCACTGTAAATGCACATTAGATTATCATAGGTGAGGAGCTCCATGGTAAACATCTGAGACTGTTGTGTTCTTCCACTGTAGATTATTTAATAATTTGAGAAATGTGCACAACCTGACAGTTTAATAGGCTGGTCACGTACATCTCTGGACCTCATTGCCTTTTCCTCAGAGTGGGGTGGGGGCATAGTTCTTCAAGTGTCAAACACTGTCCAACCGATACCAACTCCTCTGGTACCTGCAGATGATTTAGTGTATTGCTTTGTCTCACTGTTGGGGTATGACCAGTACAAGAGGATGTTGTGTACCAATAGCTGCAGTCAACAACAGTTACTTAAAGAACTGGGAAATGAGGGAAGGTAGAAAGGTGCTGGTTGTAGAAAGCGTGGTGGAAAGAGGAATGAGAAACAAACAGTGTACCCTGGCAATTCTATAAGCCTGAATCCAGTGTCTGTTACTGCTGTTGTAAAGAGTGGTGTGTAGATACCAGGTATGTCAGCTAAAACACTAGAAGAAAAAAATAATCTTTATTAATGTACTGTTACAAGAAAAGAGAAGAAGAAAATGCCATCAGTGTAAAGTTAAGAGATGTGGACTGGACTTCAGATTCTGTACAAATGCAGTCATTTGAAGGTCACTTGTAAGTACTGCTGTGCTTGCATTGCATTACTTGCCAAGAGGACCTCAAGCATGCAATGCACTACTTCAATTGCACAAGTTTTTAAAACTAGAAAACCACATGTAGTATTAGTATCATTGCTGAGGACATCATGCTATAAGGAGGTAAGAAATGCAGAGTTTATAAGGAGAGCTCTGAAAATGTGGTGATTTAAAGCCTTATTTAGTTATCAGTTTTGCTCACTAGTGGGCTTTGAGTACCTTGTTTAAGAAAAATCTGTGTAGCTTAAGCTTGTTTAAACTGTTAAATCTGGAAATGAGTGCACCATGCAGTTGAAGACTTGGGGGTTTTCTTCTTGTCATGTTGCTTTTCTTGCTGTCTAACTAGTGTCTTACTACTGATTTGATGCTATTTGCTTCTTACTAGAAAGCATGTGAATTTGTTCTGTCTAATAAGAAGACCTATGTAATTTCTAGGCTTTACCCTTTTGTTTTGATTGTAGTTCTGTTGTAGTTCTGTTTGTAACTTCTTGACACTAAACTTGGGAAAAACTTACAGTAAATTGTGTAATTATATAAATCTGAGGAGAAAAGGCTTGTGTTGTCCAAGCACGTAAGAAGTATGCAAGTTGGTGTATGTATCACGCATGTTTGCTATTAACAGATCTTTGCATTTCTAGCGCCTCTTTATGCTGTGATTTCCTTTTTCTTTATGTTAGAGCTCCAGTGCATGCTTGGAAAGCATTTCAAACTCAGAAAATAGACTACTACTTTGCAAACAACTTTATCAGTGTTATTATTTCTCTGTTGTCATAGACTGCAGTTTCTTCAGAACGTACAGGATGTGTTTTTGTAGGCCATGGGCTAGCTGAGGTGAAACCTTACATATTGAGTTACATTTCTTCACCTGAGACTCAAATCTTGATTTTGATTGTCTTGCTTGTCTTCTTACAGTGATGAAAAATCTGAATTGTACTCAGTCCAGCTGCGAAATAGAGAAGCTGAACAGTGACCTGAAAGTGCATAGTCTGGAACAGGATATAGAAAAGCTCAAGGAAGAGTGCAACAGTCTCAGAAAGGAGTTGCAAAAATCCAAGCAGATGGTACCTTTATTTTTATAAAAAATTTTAATTAATATATTTGACTGTGTTCTAGCATTTTAAATCCCTTGTTCAAGCAAAATAAAGGATGAACAAAGAGACATGAAGCATATAATTGAGTAAAAGATTAACATTCCAGTAAAATTAACCTTAAATATTCTCATAGAGTGGCTTGTTTCTTGGCAACAGTACACTTACATAAGTGAGATTTCCCAGCCATTGCCCATATAACAACAGAAAGTAAAGCTTTACCATTTCTTATAAGTGGCCGATCAGATTGAAGTGTCCTATGCTGTTACTTGTCTTGGGCTGGACTTCTTAGAGGTTTGGGCAAAAACTGGTTAATTTTTGGTTCGGGGTTGTGTTTTTTGTTGTTGTTGGTTGGTGGTTGTTTCTTTTCTTTTAAAACAATAGAATGCTTATGTTAAAAGACATCACAAACTTTGTTTAAGGAGCTCTAGCACTTTTCATTACTGTAGTTGCATGCAGCTTGTCAGGAAAGCGGATTTTTGTAACAAGGTTTCCAGAATCTTGCTATACCTCCTTTAGTCTAGGGTAAGTGTCTGTGGTGGGGGGACTCACAGTGTAATGTAGATGTGGTTAAAATGGAAATTAGAATAGCTTAACAGTAATAAAATGCATTAAGTTAAAGAAAAAAAATGTCTAGTGCATGCTTACCGCTTTACATGATAAAAGGTGCAGTAGCAGCTTTTAGGAATCTGCAGTCACATTGAAGTTACACAATAAATTTAAAAGATTTAAATGTGAATGTTTGAAGAGGCAGGTTATTTTAAGTTTCTTGTGATCATTAATAACTATGATTATCTGATCTTGAGTCACATCATATTTGAGTGAGCCCAATATTCAGGGTCTGCAAGACTCGCAGATAGAATCCTTGCATGGCCAGCATCCTGCCTTCAGAGAGGATTTGGTTTAACTTGGAAACGTTTCTTTGCTGCTTGTTCTTATGGGCACATTTACATTACTACAGAAATGTGCTTTTGAAGCACATCTAATCACCACTGCCTACTGTGCCTTGCGTTACGGAGCAGTCAGGACTATGGGAACTGGGTTCCTTTTGCATGAAACTAAGATGCTCCCCAACCTCTCCTGGGCATTCAGGGACCAGACTAGACTTAGCCTGACATCACGTCCTTCTCTCCTGCTGCCCTCAAAGCACACAGAGTTGGGGTGTTGGATTCTCAGCACTGAATGTGTCCCTGCAGATGTGCTGTTATACCACACTCCTGGCTTACACCAACAGGCTTCTGCGCATCAGTTGTCTGTGTTTTTTCCACTAGGTGGGGATAAAGCACGTTACCTGGAAGGCAAGTGAGGTGTTTGGTTAAATTCTGTTACTGTTGGTTTCACTTGTCTGGAATTCTTTTAGGTATTTTCAGTAACTTGTAAATTCTGAAAGCAAACCATAACTTGTGTGCAGTTGTAGTGTCTTCAGATAGCTCTACAGAACAGAGTTACCAGCTAGATAAATAATTGAAGATTGCAGATTGTATTGTGAGAGTGAAAGTTGCTAGAAAGAACAGACTAAAATAGCAGTTGTAAGGCATAGTGGACATGGCACTATTTAAATAATGCTTATGCCAGTAGCTTTTATTGCAAAGAACAAATAAAAAGAACAGCTGTTTTCTTTTTCTTTTTTTTTAAATAAAATTTCTTCTGTATCCTGGTAACTGCTTAATATAGGAAATGAAAAGGTACACATTTTCAAATGTGGGGTAATATAGTGCAACTGTTGTGGCTTTTTTTGTAATGATGAAATTAGGTCTCTGATGGGTGGGAAAGTCTTCTGAAGGGTGAAATATTGTCAGGTGAAACACAGGGAAATGTGGTCAAAGGGCAATGACAAGTCAGCGTTGTTTCAAACCCAGCTGGTATTTTCATTATTACTGTTTTTTATTACATTAGTCATAATTTTGAGATGCTTTCTACCTTAGGCAAGTATACTTGCTATTTTTTTCTATTTTTAGATATTCTTATTTGGGTTTTGCATTGTAGTTGATGCAGTGTGTGCATTATATTGACAAGTTGCTTAAAATATACGTATGCTGCCATGAAGCCACAGTAACAAGTATTAAATTGGTAACAGCTTTGCCTAAAGGGAATGGTAGTAGGAAGGGAACATGAAGAGAAGGGATGTGAATAGGAACTCATCACAGGTGAGGGTCTGATAGAAACACGGCTAATGAAGGGAGCCCAGTGTTTGATTTGTTGAACAGTCCTGTTAACTTCAGTGTAGCTCCTTCTATGCACAATTTAAAGCAGCTTTGCAGACTCGGGATAAATTGTGCTTATCATAAAAGTAACTTGTGGAAGTAAATCCATACTGAAATAGTTTAATTTAATAATTTAAAGGTCTTTATATGCTGGGGCAGGGGAAAAAAACAAGAGAAGACTGATTACTTTAATGGAAGTTAAAAGCCTTTCTCAATTTTTGCTTTTCAAAGAATCATAAATTATGACCACTATGCTGTTTGTTTGCACATTTTAAAAATAGTGTGGTGGTGGCTGAGCAATGCTTTCATATAAGTGGGTAATTTAAGCATTTTTAAATAGAAATTCTTAGTAGTAGTCTTTATGTCTATTTTGAAAACCACTGCAGCCAACACAAATGAAGATGACTTTACTTCTGAATTTTAGTATAAGTGAACTTCTAGTTTCACTGCAGTATTTTGAGATAGGAGATCTGAAATCGTATGTTCATTCCTTCTCTATCTTCCCCTCTGTTATGCAGAACCAGACTCAAGATGAAAATCCATTAAATGGAGCCCTCCCTCAAAGGCAAGACATCCAGAGGTACGAAAATCAAGCGACTTTTATGTTTTAGTTTACTGAGGGACAGTTATTTGAACAAGTAAATATTCTTGCAGCCTGTTCAAATGTATTATTTCAAATTACATACTCTAATTTTTGAGGGACCTTTTGAGGTCCCTTCCAATCCCTAACGTTCTGTGATTCTGTGATTCTGTAATTTCAAGGTATACTGATTTAGCAAGAACATTGTAATTTATTTTTTTTAATGTTGGTAGTCCAGGATGATAATGATAGGAAAACTTTTACATCTTCAGATTGTTGTACAGAAAACTAAAGTTAAATTATCTTGGATTTAAAAATCAGCTTTTTTTTTTTTAAATAAATAGTTGACTTGAGGAGGTGGTAGAGTAATTTCCAAGTCTCATCCCAGCTATAGAATATCTTCATTCTGCACGTGGGGAGGTTTTTGTGTTTGCGTAAGTAACATACATTCCTACTTAGCACAGTGCAATAGTATTGCTACTAGAAGATATTTTAAAGGATTTTTTTTATTTAATATTGAGGAGCCATTGTATGACCTATTCAAAACCAAACAGCCATTTTCCAGAAAAATGCTAACATATCAGATGGCATTTGTTCTCATTTTGCAGCCATTCAAATAATAGTGTTTGTGAAGTAAACTCCTATATTATCCTGTCCCAAGTATGTGTGCCATAGTAGAAACTATATACATCCTTTAATTCTTCATGCAAAAGAAGAATTCACGAATGCATGAAAGTTCCCAAATGTTCTGCCTTGCAGAAATGAAATACTAACTGCATCTACTGTACCCAGTGATGTCCACTATTTGTGTACTTACACGATTCCCCACAAGAGGGAAGAGTGGTCCTTCATACCGACAGCTTGGTTAGTGCAATACCTTGATGCCTACTTGGCTGTTGAAGAGAAGGGAAAGGAAATCAGTCACTGAAAGAGAACAGCACAGATACTTATTTTCGTATGTTCTCTGGTGTAATGATGATAATATTATACACACTGTACATAAATTATACTTTCACCCTTCACCATGGCTGGATAGCTGGCTACATAATACCTCTTCTTGTGGTTTCTGCTGGAGCTTTGTAGTCAGTCATACATGCCTGAAAAAAAGGTGTTATCTCAAGGTAAAGCAGTTATCTCTTTGATTTTTCCAGAGCAGATTTATTCCTCAAAGTGACATTCAGGTGGCAACCATCTGTATTAGTATGTGTACAGTATAGTGTTTATTGTAATATGCCATAAATAATGCATGTGTAATGTGTACTGAGAATGTAAGCCTATCCAGAAATCTGTGAAAAAATCCACTTAAAGTCTCCTATGCAAAACAATTGTTGTAACAAGCAATCCTGATGTTTGTGAGAGATGGAGGCATTTGCAGTTAGTTAACTTTTCTGGAAAGTAATTAGCTCACATTTCTCAGGAGCCTGCAAATCTGACTTTAAATTCTTAGTTTGCAAATCTACTTTGCTGTAGGTTCAGATAGGCTGTCATATTCAAGGTTTATATTTCATGTTAGAAGGCAGCATAGGATAAACTTTCAAGCACGCAGAATCCTTGGTTTTCAATTGCAAATTCCTTGTCAATGAGGCTTTGCAATGGGATTCTAGGTTGGTATCCACAAAAACAGTTAAAATATGTTCTGTGTGATTTAAGTGGAATTCTGGTACCTGCATCCCTTTGAACAATGCTTTTAAAAGCACTAAATTTGTATTACAAAATTTATCTAAGCACTTTCTTTCTGGTTGGTGGCAGATGCAGAGCTATTACTATGTTCAGCACTTCTATGTATATAAATATATTTACATA